TCTATTCTTGCTTAATCGGTACAGAAAAGAATTGAGAAAAAACATGCAGGTTGTCATTCTATTTCCGCCGCTAATGCCGACGTACAGTGACAAGTTTCAACCCCGTGTGTCCACGTGAGGCCACTTAACTTCGTGATCCTTTGACTCCCTCTTTGGTACAACAAGCCCGCTCCCTACCAGTCGTCCTTCTGTCCATGACTCATTAACTCTCTGTTTGCAATGTGTGTCACCAACTCTCACTCTGCTTTAGACAATGACTAAGTTATAAATATTTTTCTATTTTTCTAAACACATCAAAACATCAGGCTATACAGTATCTATGGTAATTTACTCAATGACTTCACAATATCATGCTTTGAATATTAAACCTGTTTCTACTATCTTCTAAAGACTTCATAGCAATTTCACTTAAAAGTATTTCCTCGTAATGAGGATAAGTTGTGTGATTTACATGCTGTTGATTTCCATCTGTGATTTTTTCTTTTTTTTTTTATAATCCATCCATGCTTTCTTCGTCTCATTGCATTTGTTGCTGTTTGCCTTATCATTTCTACATTTTTAGTTTTTTTCTCCTTTGTTATAGCTTAGCTTGTCAGCTGATGACAAATACACACAAGTTTGATGGCACATTTTGCCAGAAATGAGCAATAAACAATAGAGTAATGGACACAGGGCCTGCAATTTAACGACTAAACTATTTTTTTTTTGGCTACGGTCATCTCGTAAATCAGTTTTGACAGTGTATGCCAGCAGCTGTAATTAGCTGATAATGTTAATCCTTATTGCATCAATGACAGCTGTGTAGAACACCATTTTCTCATGTAAAACTGTTTCAAATGCTTAGCAGTGACAAGATCTTGAACATTGCCACCTTGCACCATCATCTCTTGTATCATAAGGAATGATGTCTGTGTTCTCTGCCCCTTAAATTATTTATGTCATCTTTGCCTGTTAAGAATAAAAGGCTGCTTTGGATGAGAGGCATTGGCAACACGTCACTATTTAGTTTACTAAGCAGATGGAGGCAGTGACTTTACGGCCATCCAGCTCAAATCTCTGCATCATGAATTCAATGCATGTTGAACCTTTTTTTTTTTTTTTTTTCTTAACCGGGTGCAATTGGTTTTCATATCGTTGCCCTTTCAGTCAAGTGTTGGTGCCAATTTATTCTCAGGAGACATAAAAGGTCAATTCATGCTGTTGTTCAGAAAGTTTTTCCTATTTTTTTTAACAGCTGCAACATCATGCAAGCAGTTAAGGGAACAAATTGGAAAGCATTGTAATATGTTACTGTGGAACCCTGTATTATCGCACTGTTTTGAAATTATGTTTCAGTGCTCTTGGTTTCATCACAAACACGGCATTGTTTTTTTAAAATATGCTAACAGTGTGGTTGCAGGGATGACCCACCACGTTCGTTTAGACCGAAATGTCACATACATTCATATGAATTGTAATATCCTTGACCCCTTACCTATTTATCATCGTTAGTTCAAAGGTTTAATACTTTAATACCAGAGACCTGCAAAACTGATGTCCCTTCAGGCCTAACTGTACATTGCGTTTGGTGCTAAATAGCACATTTTTGCATGCTAATTTGCTAAATTAAGATGTTGGACATTACACCTGCTAAACATCAGCATGTCATTGTGTATATATTAACATGCTACTATTAGCATTTAGCTCACAGCACTGCTGTGTCTATATGGCACTGGGTATTCTCCACGTGCACTGTTGGATAACTACCTGTGAAAATGAAGCCAACTCTAACATTCATTGTCAGAATCAAGACCAAACAACAGATGCATTGATTATCGCAATGCTAGCAAACTGGGGGCATTATTTATATTTACCCATCTTAACATTTTTGTTTGTTGATATCTTTGCAGCATACTTTTGGATCCGTAGCCTATAAACCAACTATACTGATATGTATACCTATTTGTACATCTGGTACCTGTTTTCCTTGATAAGAGGAGTTGACAGCGGCTCAAGGGTCATTCAAGTGCTATGATATAAGTAGAACAAAAGGCGTGTCCTTTTAATTATTCCTCGCCAGCTCAGCCCATATGATGATGTAATACTTCTATGAACCCAGCGGGGCCCACAGCAGAAGTGTCTATCTATAGCTGTAGTGGACATGCCATAACAAAGATCACGGTTTGCTTCAACTTTGCGGGTGAAATAAAACTGAGTAAAAGTCAAAGCTGGCTTTTTGCTGAAAGACATCAATACCAACAATTAAATCTGATGCCCAATTAGGCTTGAAATTCAGCAGCCAAAACAAAGAGGTCACAGATAATGTGTGTTCCTGTGTGAGTGTTATCTTCAGCGGCCCCCTTTTGTGAGCTGTCAGACAGTTTCTCATTACCCCAACTTCCTCTCTTCCACCAGACTTGCATAGAATATTTGATGCGTGTGTCCTCGCATGTAGTTAGACCGTTTGTGTCAGTAAATGAATGCCATGCATGCTTTCACATGTGCATCTGTTATACTATACATCAACTGACATGCATAATTCGGTATGCAACATTTGCCCACGTAACACGCAATCATTAATGCATGCCATACACGTGTGAACGAACCTGGTGTGAACGAACTCATTTGCATATACTTTACTTGACATCTCTTGGGAGTTCACACAACTCACATGTTTTCTATCCATGGATGCATTAACGCCAGATGAAACATTGTAAATTCACTGGATTCCTCATGTACATGTGGTGTTTTATAGAGGAAATGTAGCCCAAAAATACCTCACAGAATGTACACACTTTGGAGGATTTCCTCATAAAAGGTAACAAGTGCACATATTCTCTCATTCACTCTACTCTGTCTCTTTCGTTCTGAGACACACACAGAAGCACACAAAGCCGTGCACCGTGTTGCTACATGACAAGCTGAAGACTCCTTTTCCAATCTTCGGTGTTTGAAGTGTCACTGTGCAGATGATGATCATCAGGGAATTGTACTCACAAGTCATTACTGACATTATGGAATGATTGTTGTGGTGATGAATTAATGTTGATACATGCTTGTCATTTAGCATCATACTGATCATATTTGAGTGGCCCGTCTTAGCAGGAATGTATTAGAGTGATGTACTGTACTGTATTGAGTTTAGCATGTTGTCCTTGGCGGGTGGTTAACCATTGGTTTGCATAATATGATTGACTGTAGAAGAAACCACAATATGACAAAAAGAGTCAAGACACAGAAATAATTCCATTTTTGTTCATTTGATGTATACTTAATTGTTGATGAATAGGTGGCAAGTAATATCAAAATAATGCTTCTGGTTTTGCATCTAACCTTCAAAATAAAACCACAAACGTTGCAAGATTTATTTGTTTTATTATTCTTATAGGTTATAGCTTCATAGAAGAGTGGTTTATTGTTATCTTTTAATGTTAAACTATCTGTCTTTCTCTTATTACTCCAAAGGCAGGGTAACACATAAAATGTGTTACCCTGTGAAATGTGATACCATAAATACGATAAGCAACAAGCAAGTTTATAATTTCTTATGAAGTAAAACTGTCACTAAAGCCTTCCCTCGAGATGTAAACAGTGCTCAGACAATATTGCCAGTCAAAGCCCTTGTATTTTGTAATATGGTGAAGTCCATATAGGCAAGACTCATTTTTATTGTTATTTTACTGTTGAGGGTGCTCATTGCTATTGGCTTGAGATGAGGTAGTTATGTTCTCCATTAAAGCATTTGTGGTGAAACAACAGTGCACCGTGCTGTCTGTAATAGCATACCATTTCATATTTTCTGCTGTACAAGTCTTTCTATTTTCAGAAAAACAATATGATATAATATGTATGAAACAAAAGAAAATATTGTTTGTTTCCCAAAATATCAGGACCTCCCAAAAAAAATAACCTTTTTTATACTGTTATTAAGTAAGTATATCTGATTTATGTAGCCCCTGAAAGTTACTACATGTCATACATATTCAACAATCAAAGTGAAAAAAAGCCCCACATCTTTAGGTGTTTTTCATGAGAGTTAACTCTTAATCAGTTGCCAAACAAACCCCAAATGTCATCAGATTCTCATTCAAATGTTGCTAAATCCTAACTGGTACATGGTAGTAATTTACATCACATTTTCATAACTGAGCCAAAATTCCAAAACTGTTTTGGCAGAAAATAGTGTGTTCATGTAGGATCTCATTACTCATTGTAAGAATTTTATTCCTGCCTTATTGCCCATTGGTTATGGAGTTGGCCTCCTTTGCCCCATCAAGACACCTCAGCTGCTCTCCCACAATGTTTCCATCTGTCTCTGCTAGCTAGAATATAAGTATATCCAGGGTTAAACATAAGGTTAATGTGCAGAGTGATCTGCCATGGTAATTAGTTCAGGTGGAATCTTATTGATCGCCCGTCACATTCAACCTTGCATTGAGGGCAGTTAGAGGGAGGGGGGGGGGGGGGGGGGAATTCCGGGCACTCTCTTTCCCAGTAATGTGTCAAAGCAATTGACCATTTAGTGCAGAATAATCCCCATCCACCACTTAAGCCGCACTGGTCTTTGCTTACCGTTAGCTGATGCAACCCTTCTCATCCGTCCTCAATGCCTCAAGTTATTTAGAGTATTCCTCCAAGAAAGGGGAGATGGAACAGAAAGAAGAAAAGTAAGAACAAAGATGGGAAAGAAAGTGTTTAGGGTGCTAAACACGGAGATAACTCAAGAACAAGTATGGTGACATTGCCTTCTTATGCCAGCGGGGGAAAAGAGGCTGTCAGTTTGCATGAGTGGTGAGGACTGCGTATTAAACCTACAGAGTGAATGGGTGAACTCGGTGAACTTGATGGTCTAACTTTGAAACTTGCTGTCCCTCTTTCACCCTTCTTTGAGTTAGATCTTCCTACTGACGTGTTAAGTCACGTCAGTAGTCATTTCTTTTGAGTCTAACAGTCACTGTTTATGTCCCTTCTGCCATTCCCTCCCCAACCACCTCCCCTCCACCCCTTCTCCCCACCTCCAGGGAAGCTGGCGCAGAAAACTGGGGCACAGAAGGCTGCCAAACGCTCGCGTCAACCACTGTCCACACCAAATGCCTGTGCAGCAGGATTTCCACCTACGCCGTGATAGCGCAGCAAGCTAAAGACCCGGTGAGTCACCTATGCATATCCTGATGTAGTACTCTGTGGGACTTGGGGGCTAACAAGGCAACTACTACCAGGGGCCAGGTCAGGAAGATGATGAGATGGCTTTACTGTATGATACAAACAGGCTGCTAAAACTGTCATTTATTCTCTTTATATGGCTGTCTTACTTTATAACAAGCATCTTTCCTTACACCGCTGCCAAGAAAATGGGCACAGGCTGAACAGAGCCGTCAATGTTTAACACTGTCACAGTATAAGAAGCTGTTTTGATCAGTGTTCCCTTGCTTATCTTATTAGTATGTTGATCGGCAATCACACCACATTTTTACAACTTTTTTCTTTGCGTAAACTTAGTAAAGGTCAGGTTGTTCAGCGAGCTACTTCTATGCGATGGGAGAGAGAGAGGAGGCATCAAGAGGAAGACAGTTTTATTGTGTCTGTGTTTGATTGTGCCTGCAGTACTAAAAAACCTGCGCTTCTATAAATAGTTCAGGTGGCTCGCCGGGTGTGTTTGACATGATTAAAGAAGGCTTTTTAGCAGTTCAGGGTAATGTTTGTTCTGATACAGTGACCCTTCTCCTGTAGTTGCACTAATGGACATCCAAAAACCTGACAGCTTTTAGTTCACCTTCATCACAGCCACCCTCTTCCTCCACAATACCCTACTTCATTAATTGTATAACTGTACGCACCTAACTCAATTTATTATCTATACCCACTTTTTTGCTCCATTTTTTTCTTTTTAGCCATATTTGCCATTGATGTCTTCCCATCAGTTTCCCTCTCCTCCTCCTCCTCCCTTCACCCTGCTTGTTAACACTTTCAGTTGTTTTTCTCACTTCATGCCACAGCTCCTGAACCACTATGATCACAAAATGTTCCCTTTAGCTTTGGCTGTTAATTTGTCTCTAGGCTTGCTTGCACCTAATGCCCACGAGGATAGTGATTGCGTTAAATAACTAGAGGGCACTCGGAGAGCCATGCCCTATCTCGCATTTGCAATGAAAGTGAAAAATAATCAGTGCATCCGCTCCGTGATTCAGATCCACTCCAAACTTACATTTTGTCGTCCTTGGCCGCTGGTACACTCCTCAACCAGGTGTCATGAAAATCGGACCAGCACTCTTTCTGTAATACTGCTGACAAACAACGAAACAGAAAAGGCAGACTTGTGACAGGGAAAAATAAGAGAGAGAGAGAGAGAGAGAGAGAGAGATAGAGAGAGAGAGGAAGAGAGACAGAGATGCTCTAAGTAGTGATGCATTAACAACCAGTGTCCCAGAGACAAAGCTGATGGCTTATGTGAACATCTATTCCTTCGTAACCTTTTCATTGCATTCATATAGCATTCACTGGTGCAGTGCTTTTACCCTTTGCTCTTACTTTACTGTTAAGTCTGTCTTGGCCCTTAACATACACTCTGCATCAAATATGAAATGGTGTCTCCTCACTGTTAAGGTACATATAAAATAATTTGAAGAACTAAAATTGGATGTTTTGCACCACATATGCACTATAGGAGTCATAGTTAAGTTCACCTTGTGTTATTTGTATTTGCTTGTACAGCTTTATCAAAAAACACATTTTAACAATGTCTCTTTCTGAGACTTTCATGCCCATCCATGCCATGAAAGTTACCTAACTGTAACTGACTTAACATTTCCAGAAAAAAAATAATGGGACATTTCCTTCTAAAACCAAGGGTGGCAGAAATACAGTAGCTCCTCCAACTTCACAACTTTTTGTGATGATAGGGGCCGTTTTTTCTTCATATGGTTATTTTCATACAGCATTCTCTCTCTTTAAATTAATTTTGATCGGTCAAATACTTGAGTGGTCAGTGTGCAAAACATGCATACATCTTCTTCATCGTTCATCTTCCTGGTGTTGAGTCCAAAACAAATGGTATGTTTCACGAGGACTCGCAACAACTCAAAATGTTATACTCTTTCTAAATGTGATCAATAATCTCATAAAAGGGAGCATTGTAATTAATCCCTGTGAAACAGAATGTACTTAAGCAATGTCAAATAGGTCCCACAGTAGGGATATATTACTGGTCGCAGTTTATGGAGTTATCCGCTTCCTTGAACTTTTGCTTGGATTGTCATTTTATACAAACTTAGATCATTTTGTTGCACCTTGCTTGTGTCAACAGCAATACAGCTGAGCAGCTGACACTGATTGTACCTTTGAATTGTAGAGGCCAATGCTAAAGGTGCTGACTATACTTTTATATTGGATATAAACCTCCAATGTTCAGTTGGCTTGTAAACCGAGGGATCTCAATACCGTATTGTCGGAGTTATTATTTTATTTTGTTTGCCTCAGCCCCTGGACATTCCATAGCCTTTCTTTTTTTATTGAGTGTAAAGAGAGTCAGAATAAGGTGATGGCCTTCAGGGGAATGACTGCAGTTGTTCATTATTTTCTCCCTCAAAGCTTGAATTACTTCACAGGGGTCTGGAACCTATTACAGAACTAGGGGAGACATTAATTCCCATTATATGGAAAAGCACGATGGCTGTGACCTATGCTCTGTATGGGCCATTTCAGCCGCTATTTCTGGTTCCTATGACTCCTCCTTCAACTGAACAATATTGACTTCTGCCGTTTCCACAGCAAGCAAGGTCGGCCGTGTTTGGTAAAAGAGGGATAGGAGAGAAAACAAATTGACTTTTTTGTAATATCTGTGAAGAGCATGTTAGTCATTAGCGATTCACCATTCAGATCCCCATTACCCATGTGCTGAGGACCGGAAGGTATGGGTCAGTCTGTTTGTGTCTGTGGCTTCCAGTCAAGAGCTGTTGTGGCCAGCGTTCAGTGCACTTTGTTGCTTCAGGGTCCAACACAGTTTTTTAATCCACCGGACATTGGATTCTGTAAAGGGCGAGGGAGAGACCCAGTCACATCCACACATGCAAACACAGACAAGTATGGATGTTTGCACTTTTATACACCCTCGCACACAGCAAGCGTGCACAAAAATGTAGACACTCAAACACACACTCTATGCACTATGTTTTGTCCAGGCTGTGTGGCTGTTGGAGCACTGCTGAGTATCAGCAGCCCAGCTCTGACAGCTTATCCTGGGCCATGGCGCTAGGGACAAGGGGGGTTGAGGATTAACCTCCGTGTTTAATAGAAAAGGGAGGGAGGGAGGGAGGGGGAGAGAAAGAGATGGAGGGATTTAGAAGCAGCGCTGCCATTACAGGCAGTTTACAGTGGAGCGAGGGATAGCCAGTTAATCCTGTTTACTTTCTGTAGCCTCTGAGATTTCCGCGTTTGTAGCCTATACACATATTATGTGTGTGTATCCTGCTGTGTGTCTGTAGAGAGACCTTCACTATCAGACACAAGACAGAGGTTGTTACTTTGGGGAAACAGAGGAGAGAGAGGGAGAAAGAGGAGTTGATTGAGAGAGGTCACGAGGCCATACTATAAACCAAGCCACTTAATTCCCAAAATGACTGCAGTGGGAACACCAACCCTACGGATATGTCTGGACTCATTGCCTCAGCAGCACTATAGGGATCATGGGATTTGGAGTAGAAGGAGGTATTGGCTTTATAAAAGGCAGTTTAACATTTAGTGCCCCAAGTTAATCAAGTGAGTTATACATCTTCAGTTCAGTTTTGTCAGCATATATGACTGCTGTCCTGTGTTGTGTTGACATGGAAATGGACCAAAGTTTTCAGACGCGTCTCCCAAACTTGTTTTCATAGTTAGAGTTGGATTCATGGCTTGTGCTTGCCTAAGCAGGTAACCAGAAATGCGAGGGAGAAGGTCAGTCAGTCAAACAGCACCTGAGACCTTGATCCAGTCAGTGTGGATGAGTACACAAACACACACATACGCACACACACATTGGCTAGGAGGAGAGGGGGTGCCTTCTGTATTTCCATAACTCATTTTTAAAAGGCAATTACTGCAAATCAAAGCAAGAACAATATGTGAAGTGATCTCGGCCTCTGCTGTAAAAGATTGCTCACAGAGTCTTTTACATGCCAGGCTAACTGCTATTAGCTGAGATGATTGGGTCTACTCGAGTCTGTTTCCTCGCTGTCATTAGCACTCACCAGCAACTAATCAGAATGAAAATATCACACAGCTGAGTCTATTATTTCGAAAGGATGGTCAAAGTGCCTGATTTGACTGTGGAAGGACGACAGCGATGATTCAAGCGGCATAGGATGGCAGCTCATATTTTAAGTTATTATATAGCTTAACTGCAGATAGTGTTTAAAAAGACAACAAGCGCTGCCCTAGATGGAGCAAGACTACAAGGTTACAGTATGCAAATACCTTGCACTTGTCAACTGTAATTGAAAGATGAGGGTTGCTAAAATTTATGAGAGGCTCGTTGTGGAATTGCATTAGAATCTTTGGATCCCTCGTCGCATTAATTGAAGGTTAGTTAGTGACGAGGGAGATGATGAGAGAGTATACAGGTGAAATTATTTCGTTTTTCTCTGGCTGACGATGCTTAATGGCTGACCCCTGGAGTGATAGATTTGACCAGATGTATAATTACATCCTTAAAAACGTGTTGCTTTTGACACAAGATTCACTATTTCCAAGTACAAGAACAGTTTGGGCTTTTATTTTGATTTAGATACAGTATATTTTTTTATTTCCTTGTTTTGTGTAATACATTTTTTTCCTACAGCAGACAGTAGAGGGTGATATGTCCTTTTGGTGACCTCGTGATTAAAATTTGATCCGATTTGATCCGATTTGTGTAAACCAACAACACCTGTTATAGTGTATCTATGACCGGGCCAATATGGTTTTAAAGAAATAGTGTATCTTCCTACTGGCTTTAATTTAGAACTTTGCTTTGCATAAGGCCTATGTTTTGTAGCTGATTTTGCTTCAACAAGCAGTGCCAAACTCAAATGGTGTTTAAAAAATACCTGAGGAGAAGGCTAGCACTTGATATGATGACTTTGCATTTTAAGTCACTCTGTCAGCTCTCCAGGTTGTCAAACACTGACAGGAGACGTATGGTTTGTCTTCAGGCCGCTGAAGCCAGAGCCTGTCAAGTTAAACCCTTAAATGTCTGCTGAATTGATTCAGCATATCGCAGGTATTATTTACCTAGTGCCATGACAGCAAAACAGGGAACTGAATAGCAGGATCACTAGATTAGAAAGATGGGGAGTTTTCTGCAGTGGCACAATCTGCATGGGTGTGCGAGTGTGGTTGTATGCTTGTGCCTATGCCTGTATCTGCGTGGGACTGCTGAATTTTGAAATCTTTTCAAGAATTATTCAGCATTTAATTAGCATTTTCACAGCCTACTTAAATCATTAATCATGTGAGTCGTTAGTCACGTGACTCACGTGCAGTAGTCACCTAAATAGTACAATTAACGTGAATCATGATCTCACTAAGTGGTTTTCCCAACTTCCTATGAGTCTTTAGTCAGCACAGTTTATGTACACATCCAGCTAATATGGAGCAATCTTAGCGATCATTTGGCGTTCAGTTTCTGGCCACAAAATAAATCCAATATTCATTCTCCTTTTAGCTCTGTTATCCTCTCCACGAAATCCTTATGCAAATATCTGGCCTTTTAGCTGCTAAATAGGCCACTAGCCACTTGCTGGCCTTTTCTATGTGGTGTTTAGGGCTGGATAAGTAGCATACAACGAGACCCAAGTGTGTTTCTCTACAAACAGCTGCTTGATGATAGGGGAGAGTTAAAACCAAAACAATGAGCTGAAATGCTCCATGGAGCTGACAGGAACTCTATAGGCAGAGTGATATTTACCTGTTGGGTGTGTGGAGGAAATCCCTTCACTTAGACAATGTCATTTGAGCCACTGTCAATATGTAATCCAGTACTTTGGTTATAACCAAATATCAGCAAAACTAATGACATTGCCACCAACCTCAGCAGTGCTTGTTAAATGTTAATTAGCTAAATGTGCACGCTAAAAATATAAATTAAGCCGGGGAACATGATGAGCATTATCCCTGCTTAAAATCAGCCTGTTAGCATTGTCATTGTGAGGATGTTAGCATGCTGCCATTACCATTTAGCTCAAAGCACAGCCTCACAGAACAGCTAGCTGTTGTTTTAAGGATGACCACAATCCATCCCCTGAACACACACTACTTTACAAAGTAGTTTTAAGCTAACCAACCTAGCCTCCATTTGAATCGGTTTAATAATGGTCATTTTAGCTGTTTTCTGAGGCACTGATGAAAGGCCCTATTGCGCCTTTTTGGTGAGTTCCCAATAGAGTTTCTAAGAAAAATGTACCTACTGTAGGCCTACACACCACATCGCATGAATAGAGTGGCGATGAGTACACAAAGATACACACTTAATGCATGCTGTCAAATAGAGTATTCCAAGTGTTCTTACTCCTCATAAAATATGCATTTGCAGTACTACTTGGAAACAAGTGTGGTTTTCTGTAATCTCAGCATTGTAAATCTTCATGATCTCCTTGGAAGAGTTAATGGAAAATTAGTGTTGAGGAGAATTGGAGAGACCCACCCCACTGCTCAGGTGTGAGTAAGAGGTAAAGGCAGGGAGGATAGGGGGGAAGAAGGGGAGACACCGAGAGGGAGAGAAAGGGAAGGAGGATGGTGGGTAGCAGGATAGGTAGGAGTGGAGGGTAGAGGAGTGTCAGTGAGAGGAGATAAGTAGGTTAAACTTCCTGAGCTGAAAATAGCTATCTTCTCCATCACATGTTAGCCAAGCTGCCCAGGGGAGCCTGGCCGTATACAGCAGAGCCTCAGCACACTCTTTCTAATCTGTGCTCTCTCTGTGTGCTTTTCTATTCTCTTACACACGCACACACACACACACACACACACACACACACCCACAAAACACATCCACTACCCCTTCCAACTGCAACATAATACAACTATATTTAGAGCAGGGCATTTGTGTGACACTGAAGCCTCAGGCCTGCTGTGTTGTATTTTTGTGTCTGTTTGTGTGTCCGTTTCGTCTTTTTTTTTATTTCCTCGTTTGTAGCATCCTTCTACATTATGAAATGAGATGCTTAATCTCATCACACACACACACGCGTTACCTTACCACACCAATTAAGAACACTTTGTTCAGAACACTGAACAAGCTGAGGGACAATTTGTGGAAGTATATTGCGTAAATTACAAGTACAAATGCAATTTATTCTGTTACTTGCCTCTAAGCGGCTAATTTCAGACAAACGAAAGGAGACTGAAGAAAGGGAAGGAAATTCAATAGAGGCGTGTCTGTGTGTGCGTGTGTGTGCGTGTGTATGTGTGTCTGTGTGTGTGTGTGTAAGCATGTGTGTGCGTGCGTGCTTGCTTGTCATTTCTCATGCATCCTGTATGTTTGATCTGTCAGAACACAAAAAAAAGCCTGCATATCCTTTGACCTTCCTCTCGACATAATATCAAACATCATACCCCTCTTTCTCTTTTTTTGTGGGTCTCTCCTTTCTTATTAGGTGGTTTTGATTATGTTTCACCTCCATTCTCCTCCTAGTGTCTTTGTGTGTGCACACCATATTGGTATTCCATCCTATTTCACTTTCCTCTGGAGAAATTGGCTTCCTTTGATGAGCCAGGGAAAACCACTAAAAGAGTCGCTTTGACTCCCTCATTTTTATTTTCTCTCTATTTGTCCCTCCTACAACTCTTTGCTTTCTCTTAGTGGTTCTCAACTCTTCCCACTTCATCTCTCTCTGAATATCTCTCCTCCTTTTCAGTATGCATTCTTTATTCCTTTCTAAAGTCCTCCCCCTTGCTTTCCTCCTCTGCCTTCGGCTCATCTTGAATAGACACACAACCACATTCATGCAGCTCAAACATTGACTATCAATTACTTGACACATCTGCCTAGATGTGCCTTTGTGTTTGAGTATGTACTTTATTTGCTTTAAAAGACACCTTGTGCAGTGTCTGTGTACTGTGATACATCTTTGGGATGAAAGGGAAGGCTAGACACCCTAGGAGGTAAATTGAGGTAAATTGAGAACTTAAAAGCAGGGCAAACATTAAGCCCATTTGGGACACGGCGGGGTGCATGCTCTCCATGCAGCTTCATTTGTCTGCTCCTCATCCTTTCAAAGGCACACCTTGGGAGAGAGGCAAAGCGGAGGTCTGCTGTACATCATGACCTAAATCTCTCAATTATGCGCTATAGTTGAGTGCTTTTAGCCTTGTGCATCTGAAATTATACAACGGATGTAAATAGGTGCCACGTGGGAGTCTACTGTACATTCTCTACCTCGGCAAATGGTTGGCCACCTGAATAAATCTGTATGTCTAAGAGTGAATAAAAGTAATTTGAAACTATAATTATAATTACTTAGGTAATGCTTAAAAAGTTGCATAGGTATAATCAAAGTGGTCTAGATGCTTCCAACAAACAGTAACTTTTACATTAATGTAATTATGTGTTATTATCCAGCTCCATCTAACACGTAATTGCATTTAATTGTCAGGTACAATGCAATTATAAGGGGCTAGCAAAGGGATTACAACTAAGGAAGAACATCAGTTAATTGATACTGTAACTGCAAAGCAGTAATTACTATAATCTATAAGGACAAATAATCTAACAGGAATTATTACAATTCATTGTTACTCTCCCTACACATTAATCCATGTAACTGTCTATCTATCTAGCTAATGGCTCTTATACCCTTTTTCACTGTAACCCAGTGTATGATACTGGATATAACAGTAAGTATTCATGCAGTTTTGCAAGTATGAGGAGCAGAATTACTGTCTTAGTTAAAGGTCTGTAGCGGTGTTGCTGTAAGCCAATAGTAACCCTATATTAACCATATAGTTACCGTAGATACACCTGTACTATCATAGCAATGCAGAGCACTGTTTCGTCCATGTAAAGGACCATGATACAGGGTTGCACAGCCAGGGTAAAGACACAGTTCTAGTCTTGTGTTCCCATATTAATTGTTCTTCAGTTATGTAATGGTATATGCTTTAAAACAAAAACTTCAATATTTTATTAAAACACTCTCTTTTCTCTAACTGTCAAATGTTACAAAGTATTTTTGTCAGGCGGCAAGCTGTGAGTCTGAAATTGAAGCCAATGCAGAAGTGCCTTAAACTTGTATTCTTTCTATGAGCCATCAGGGGGGCGGCTCCTCTCGTTGCAAAAGTAGTCTGATTGTCTATCTATGAGAAGTCTACGAGAAAATGACCCTATTTCTCATTCGATTTATTCTCTCAGTAATCATTGTAAACATGAGTTTATGTTCTCAATAACTACTTGTAAGTCGTCTTCAATGAAGCAGGATGTTAATTTAGTGGAACTAGCTAAACCTACCCATCAGCTACCCATCATCAAGCTGCAACTAGTGTATTAAAGTAGCAGATCAATATTATAGTTGGAGGTGTGTGCTTGGATATCACACATTTTGAGTGCAAACCTGACAGATTTCTCTTGGAACTAACCCCACACATATTCCTTTTCACTTGTAAATGTGTCACATGACAGAACCTGAGGAGGCTGTAACTGCCATTTCACTGTGACTCAAAATGACCAATGTAGTTATTTGGTATAATAAAAGCAAGCAAGGGACATGTGTGGGATAGTACTGTATCTTGCAGAAATAATTAACTATCAATTTCCCTTGTCTATTTCCCACCTTTTCCATTCCCTTTCACTCTCCTCAGGAAATGGGTCCTACCAGCATGCCCTCTGTGCCCCTCATGGTGGGCTGCGGGGTTTCCTGCAGCGCTCTTCTCATCCTGCTGCTAATCTACGCTGCCTTCTGGAGGTATATGTGCACGAACGTGTATTGATGGTGTTGTGTCACTATACTCACACATTCCTTGTACAGACAATAGGGATTTCTCTCACTATCCCGGCTCCAACAGCACCAATACATAAGAATTGCAGTTTGTGTGTGTCCTCTGCCATGCCAAAACTCCAATGAGGCCTAATAAGGAACAAATGGTTCAACTACAGCAGGGGGGGTGGTGATTAGTGTTCGGTGGCACACATGACAGATGGTAAAATCAAGCTAATGACTCTGTACAATGTCCAAAAGGATACTGTTCAGTCTGTCAATCTGTCATTAATAACTATCTCGTACGTCTGCCCTCTCTCTCTCTCTCTCTCTCTCTCTCTCTCTCTCTCCCCTCTGCTCTGTAGGTACATACGTTCGGAGAGATCGATCATCTTGGTGAATTTTTGCCTCTCCATTTTGGCCTCCAACTTATTGATTTTGGTGGGACAATCTCAAACGCTTAGCAAGGTAAGGCACTGTGCACAGAACAACACAGGGACAAAAAAAATCCATTCCCAGACATAGCAACTTCTACCAGAAACCATAGTCAACGCATTTATGATCCCAGTAAAAGTGCTCTTGACCAAGCCTTTTACAATGCCTAGAAACAAAAAGTGTAGACAAGGTTCACACAGCTGAGTTCTCAAAGTGGCAGACTGACTTGGCACACAGTACTCTGACTAAGCAGGACTGCACTGTGTAGTGGTCGAGTATCGATCTCTATGAGTAACACTGCAGAGCCAGGTTGAACTCCTGTTCTTCTGAACAAAATTGATCAGACTCCTTTTTTCTTTTTATCCTCTTTCTTTTGTGGAGGTGTCATTCTACTCTGCTATAGAACCCTAAGAGATGATTCATGATGACACCTCTTACAAAACTACCATGTTTTATTTCTTTGTAAAACGCCTCTCTGTCTCCCTGACTTTCTTTTTCTATTTAGGGTCTATGTACTGTGACTGCCGCCTTCCTGCATTTCTTCTTCTTGGCATCCTTCTGCTGGGTGCTGACAGAGGCGTGGCAGTCCTATCTGGCCGTCATTGGCAAAATGAGGTCACGACTCATTCGCAAGCGTTTTCTGTGCCTCGGCTGGGGTGAGCACTTTGGTCTTCATTTGATGCTGAAAATTGTGATACATGAAATCATACAGTAGTTACCCTGTTTCAAGGCTTACTTTTTATATTGAGAAAATTACTATACCTTTTATATGCATCCTTGAGAATATTGAGTGCGCACATTCATTGTCTGAGGTACTTATGATGCCTTTCATTTACAACGGAAATCTGAATTAAGAACTGGGAATAATGTCATACCTAAGTTGAGTGCGTTCCAGTTCACAAGTTGTAAAACGTAATGGAGTTTGCTCCAGCCAGGTTAGCTATTATTACCAATACTAGTTGATAACGACACATTATTGCGGTATTGTGCAGTATTGTGGTATTGTTGGATGGTGTTGTATGTATGGCTGATTTTATGAGACACAAGTAAGACAATAAGCAGCATATTACTATTATTTCCACCTGGTTCAAATCCAATGCAGCATTATCCATAGTCTGTGTATTACCTACTGTAGATGCCGTTTGGAACAACCCCCCCCCCCCCCCCAGTTTGGGGAAATGGGCAGGAGTGCTGACACAAGAGCAAAGCAATATACTGCTGATACTAAAAGACAGGCCCATGTAAAGAAAACTATATATCTTTAAGTGTACGCTTTATTTTGAATATTTTCACCGCTTTATTTTGCCTTCAGACAGACATTTCCGACAGGGAACTGAATATGATCCATTCACTCTTCAAAGTCGGAATTTATTCTAAATATAGGGTACAATAAAACTACTTCTTCTTCGTACTGCTAGATGGCTAAAACGCTTTTCCACAACAGAACGTTACTTTGCTCCTGTGCTGGGACTCCTGTCTACTTCTCTAAACTAATAGCGTGCCGGCCACCATCTACTGTAGATAATACGCTGATTATTAATAAGTGCCTCATACAACCCTACTTCAAAACATCTGCACTATACCTTTAAGTTTGTTTTGCAACAGCCTTCATTAAGTATTAGCATATACAGCTTGCCAGTACATTTGGGGTTAATGGCTTGAACTTTTTTAGTAACTGCATTTTGAAAGACACTATTCAGTATGATGGTGGCGTCCGCTGAAACACGTAGGTGCTGTTGTAAGTGTCTGCCGTTGCTGTTACTGGAAATATGAACTCTTTGCGTGACAGAGAATTTTCAGCATAGCAAATGAAGAAGCTTTCATGAATTGAATGCTGATTGTTGTGTGACCGGTATTTGTGACGGAAGGCAGGAAGACTTTTTTTTATTTTTTTTTATATGAAAGTGTTGGCTGCATTATGCTGAATAACCTTCATTTGCGCTATTCCCATTCACTTAGCTGGTATTTGCTTCTTCAAGGACTCAATTTCCTGAAAGACATTTATGACAGTTTCTAATATAATCGTACTAATCATGGCCAAAGCTAGAAGTGAATTTTTACGTGCATACACTCACAAAGGGTCACAGTATACACTCAGAATAAACATAATCCCACTCCTTCCAGTTTAACGTCTCCTCTGTTCCATTCACCCTCCATGTCACTTTATTATGCTGTACTCGTAATAGGCACCACTGATGTTCGAGGATAATCAAAACAGATGATAACATCTGTATAACACTGGCCAGATGTTTTGAGATATAGCCTTGGAAATTACAAGCACAACCTCTAACACCACCGCCACACACACACACACACATAGGCTGTTCATTTCTCTTGATATTGATCCCACCAATCTAATCTGCCAAGTCATCGATGCCCTTATCTGATACAGAGGAGGGAGAATGTATAGATTGTTGTACAGTCACAGATAGAGAGAGATACTGACAGTGTGTGTATGTGTGTGTGGTGGCACGAAGTGGCAGCTATATCATTCTTTGCCACACTTGCAAATGCACATGAAATGCATGAAACAGTCTAGCAGAGTGAAGGGGATCAAACAGCTTATCCTCCTCACGTCCGTTTCTCCCCAAATTATGTGATTGAAATCAGTCGCCATGGAAACAGGAGATTTGGGGTGTGCCTGGAGCTGTGTGAGATTAGCAGGAGATGTATGTGTACTGTACAGGTCCGTGTTTACCGTATTATACATCAGCAAACGCTAGATGGATGTTGTCTAATTTAAATTTTGCGCATTGCTGGTTAGTGGACCAGCCTGGCTCACCACCATCTTATTTGTTAATGTTAATGTGACTTTTTCTAATTGCTTTTCATTTGCAGCCATAATCACAGCTTTGTTAATTACTTGAACATTTCAGAGCCAAGCTCATTACGGAGCCCAGCATATTTCCTTCTTTTTCTGGCACGTACTCTGTGACATTCAGTCTCACTCTCTTTCCCAACACACACACACACACACCGACCCTGCTTGATTTAGCTAATTAATGCACAAATGATTGACCACTCCTAGCTATACCTCACATTTTATGCACTCCCTTATAGTCTCAAAGGCCCACATTCGCAGTGTTACTCGCTCACAGACATGATGCATGCGTGGCTCACCTATGGCAGTGTTAATGTACATAAGAAATGCTAAATCAAAGCTTCCATCCCTGCAGTGAACTGGGATCTAAGCCCAGTTTTCATGCCTCCAGCTGGACCTGTGTGTCAGGGAGTACATGCAGCGCACTTTGGCTCACCTACAGAGCAGCAAGTCGGTTTCAATCACATATGCACACGTTACAGGCTATTGCATGGCTTCTTAACTTTTGAATAGGAAGAGCCATATGGAGTGGTTCACAGTAGAGAATCTTATTTGGCCGACATGCTTCATCGTCCCCATTAAGGCTTCCTTTTATCCTTCGTCTCACCCTTTTGATCTTTCCCTCTCTCTCTGTTTCTGCAGGTCTTCCAGCTCTAGTCGTAGCAGTGTCGGTGGGTTTCACCAGAGCGAGAGGTTACGGCACAGCAAGCTAGTGAGTACCACTCTCCGACCCCCTGCACGGTCCCTTACACCAGTCATGACTGGATTTAAATAGAATTACTCAGTATCAGCACAGTGCCATCCGTTGCCCTTACAACCAACCATTCCAAGCATAGTGTTTTTTGCTGTTCAAAATACTGTATCCTCCTTTTTCCACCTGCCGGCGTCAAGCTAAGCTTTATTTCGTAAACTCGTATTTTTATATTTTTTGAATTACTCACCAGAGGTGGTTATTGATTCAGCGGAGGCTCTGCTATAAGCAGCTGAATGCACAAAGTCTGCCTGTATTTTTCACACTGTTTGTATCAACGAAACAGTCCATCCAGCTATCCATCCGATTTCTATAAATGCTTATTGTCACAGGGGGAATGAAACTTCTCTCAGTGTGCATCAACACATCTTAGTTGCTCATTTAATATGAAAACGACAGTGTTGTTTATGCATCGTCAAGATTATATTGAAGAAACACACATTCAAGCCCCAAAAACTATATTTAAAATCTCCCTAATTTAATCATGACTAAATAAGTCTAAATTTAAATATTGATCAACATCAATCTAATCTGTCTCTTCAGAACTAGACAAAACTAGTAATAAAAACAACAACCCCAGAATTGTCGAGACTTTTTATTCAAATAATGCTAAATTACGATAGTGCAAGGAAATATGTGACATCGCCTTCTTCCAAGTGAGCCACTTTAAAGCATTTAAAAACACAATCATTGACAATTACTGTTAGGCTTAATGTTAAACAAGATATGCCAACAAAGAGCTCTGATACCCAGTCAATGGTGTAATTGATTCAATGGAAACATCCTAAAAGATGTTTACAACATTGTCCCCTCTTACTTTACTCAACATCTCATTAATAATAGCACAGCATATTAGCTTTTAGGCCTTTTTATTGAGCTGCAATTAAGACAACAGCAGGGTTTCAGTATGCTCTGATGACATCACTGGAGGACACATTTAAACTCGCATCAAATTTAATTCCACAAGAGCATTTACAGTTTGGGGATATGTTTTAGGTAATGTACATAATACGTTTTCTTCGCACTGAGGGCAATATTTATATTTAATCAAGCACTTACCCAGCCATAGAAATGAAATCCCTCACTTAGGAAATTCAAGATCCTTAATTGGTTGTGTACTTGTTGTACTGAAGTGCTTGGCACTCACAACAAGTGGAATGTTAAGACCTGAATGTAATTTTGTGCTCAAAATACTTCTTTTTTTTTTTTTGTTTTTCTATAGTTGCTGGTTGTCCTTGGAGGGCGGTCTGCTTTATGCCTTCGTTGGGCCTGCTGCTGTCATTGTATTGGTGAGTCTGTCCAACATACTCTCTCAAAGAGATCATAATATAATTCTACAAATATTTTTTGAAGTTAGCCTCCAAGCTAAGAGCTTTACAGCAGCCGCAGCTGACCTCATGAGGACGTGTCCTTCTCCTTTCACTCCCCCGTGCGCATGTGAGCATATAGATGCACCCGGAGTGTCCCCGACAAAATGATGAGATGAGCACTTTGATCCTTGAGTTTAAAAATATCAGCTCAAAAACACTGAAATATATTCCAGCAGACAAGAGCTTCCTGGCTATGCAACACTAGCACAGCGGCCAGATTTCTCCCTCGTTCATGTACTTTCAAAGTATGAATCATTTTACCCAATGTATTTAAGGCTAAATAATTTTTTTCAGACATGAATATGTGACTTACAGTGTGCACCACAATCACAATAATGTGCCATTTGTTTGCTTTTGCCAATTGGTATAAAACAGACATTTAGTATACAATAACATATAGCTTTATATTGTTCTGCAGCAAAATTGAGTGCATTGATTGCATCTCAGTGGCGTTTTAATCATCTGTTGTGTGCTGCTGTTTGCGGGAGCTTCTAGGAGGCTAATTTCTGTGAAATGAATCCCTGGGTGGATATTTCCAGCACTAAGCTTAATAAATCTGGATGGGGTACTAAACTTTATTTTGGTTATTGCCGCCGCTGCTGCTGTTGTTGTTGTCTTTCTGCTCATGCGTTAGTTCTCCTTGTTGCTCGTACACTCACTGCGTAGCACATGTCAGAACGGAAGCATGGATCAGACAGCGTCACAGGTGTGCAGAGTGATATTCATTTTCTTGAAGTGAATTCCTGACAAGAGAGCGACAGTTTGACAGTTTGGGACACGAGGGAATGCAGGATTATATAGTGCTGAATATTCATGATTATGATAATGTGGTGGCTTCCAATACTACTATTATTTAAAGGTTACATAGTCAGAAAGCACAGGAAAACCTGCACATTCAGACTCACTATTCTTTACACACAAGGTTGGTGCTTAATCTGACGAAAATCCATTGTACATACATTAATAATAGTAAAACTAACCCATTATAATATTAGAATGGTTAGGCGTTTGGTGTGTCTACGTTTAAGAGCTCAAAGGTTAAAGACATCTTGTAAAATCAAAGGACAGTTATCCATACGTTGTACATCAGATTCTGGTGTTCCTTGGAATGATTCCAACCTCCCACCACCTCCACAATGTCGATTTACACTCCACACCCCAGCTGCTATGTCCTGTAACGGTCCCCGGGCCCCCGGTGTTGTTGCTGGGACCCCACTCTAACAAACATCTGTAATGAGAGTGAGGCATCGGGCAGAGAAACACAGACCTTCCCACAGGACTTTTCTCTAATTAATCAACCTGGCCCTGGGCAAATAGCAGCGCAGGATGATGCCGACTCACAATGCTGGGGCCGGACATGACTGGCATGACAATAGTGCTGTTGCAATCTGGAACATCGTAGGTAGTTGTCAGCAGCAACACACACATGAGGGGGAAGGGGATCAGAGAGAGACAGAGGGAGAGAAAGAAAGAGAGAGAGAGAGCGAGAGAAAGAAAGAGAGAGAGAGAGAGAGAGAGAGAGAGAGAGAGAGAGAGAGAGAGA